CACTCAGTTCCTATCAGCTGGACCCCAGCAGCAAGCTAACCTGCTGGTCGGAGCATCTGCCCCCTGGTGGTCAGTGCACATCATAGCTACTGGTCGACCAGTCCACTGTCTGCCCCCTAGTGGTCAGTGCATGTCATAGCGAGCAGTTGAGCGGCCTTAGAATAACATTAGCATATTACGCTTTGATTGGTTGAAAGGATGACAGGACAAGTGGTGGAGGTAAGGGACCTTAATTTATAGTACTAAAATGACAAAGAGGAATGAGGGGAGGTACTGAAATTAAAATATATGGGAAAAATTCCTGAGAGGGCCAAAACAATAGATGTTCACTTCAGCCAGCTACTAGTCCTACAAGCATGAAGAAATAAACTCACCTGAGTTATTTTATTTCATTTCATTTATCAAGTGGAAGTGAAAAAAATCCATTCTTTCCTTCAAGTGAGCTATCTCATTAAATGAAATGAGATCTTTAAGTTATATCTAAATGTGAAAACACATAGAAAATGGTTCAGAGTTTAGATATTTTAATTTCATGATATTCTTTGTAGGACATTGTGAAATGTTTATTAATATAATCTAGCATTCTTACCAGTACTGCATTTTTTGGAGGTTCAAGATGTAACCTATGTTTATACAGAGCACTGCACTTTTAAATGTTTAATGTATTTTAAAGATGTATTTCTAAGTTTTCAAAAAAAAGATCTGTTTTTCATGCCCATTCATCTCATCTTCTTTTAGTTTCTGTTAACAGGCAAAAGACAGTAGATAAATAAGATTTCTTGTGTGTAAGTAAATTTTGTTTCATTAAAATATTAATAGGAAAAAAGTACATAAATCACAAGTTTAGTTTATTGAATTTTCACCAGTGAGGAGTAGTACATTTATATCAAGAACTAAAACTTATTAGTATCTGTAAAGCACCTATTTTTACCTTCTCTACTCACTAGTCCACCAAAGATAACACTTTTGATAAAGTTTTATCACAATAGATTAACTTTGCCTATTCTTGAAGTTTATATAAGTGAAGATATATATATATTTGGTAGCTAGCTGTATGTGTCTCAACACCATGTTTGTTGGATTAATTTGTAGTATTTCATGAATCAAATTCTCATAGCTATATAATATTACCGCATGGGACTCAATTTGTTTGTTTAGGTACTTAAGTTCAACTTTTATTTTTAGGTACCATAAGACTGCACAAACTCTACAGAGTTTTTCAGCTACTTCTTATTAGTTTTCTAGCCCTTTACCTCGTGTAGTGTAGCTTAGGTATTTACCAAATATACTGAGGGAAAGCCATCGCTTGTTGGTTTGATTTCTTTGCATCTTCATTCTTTAGAAAATCTTGGCCTCTTCATTCCTGCCTTAAGTCTGAACCCCAACTTCCAATTTTTGTCTTTTGAGTTTTGAAAGGCTCCTGAATTCTCTGATGCTTTCATTGGTTTCTCAGCTTCCCTTCATAAAAGAAAATATATATGCCACATGGAGAGAAGCTGGGCACAAAATATTTGACTCATTTTACTGAATGTTCTTCTCTCTAGGATTTGAACCTCTGAAGTTTTCATTTCTTTTTTTAATAGCAATCAAATTACTTGGGATAAATTTTTTATGTTCTAGCTGAATTTTCATGTTGTTCTTAAAATGAGTGTAGGTCTGCTATAGCTAACATAATAAGAAGTAAATACCAATACCCATTTTTTCTTTACTATTTATTCACTATCTTAATTGATCTATAATGTATATGCCATAGAATATGCAATCTCAAGTGTAGATGCACAGATTGATAGATCAACTTTTTACTATGTAACCGAGCACCAATATTTTATCTGTAGAATGTCTCAATTCAGCTCCTGCAAACTCAAATTTTTATAGGAGCATATTTTTTATTCATCAAATTTATATAAATGTAAAATATTATTATCCCTAGAAGCACATAAACTTGTTGGTCGTTGTCTTAAAGAGTTTACAACCTAGATCAGGAATTAAGGTTTATAGATAAATAAGCCCACTTTATTTTACAGATTACATTACCCAGATGCTGACTTTCTTCCATGGATAGGCAGGATAATTTAACGGAAAAAGCAAAGACTCTGGAAGTTATACGTACCTTAGATTTTGTTTTGTGTCTAGCATTTCAAAAGGCTTCCAGAGCAAGCCAGTTAAACCCCAGCGACCCTCAGGTTTTCCACTTCATAGTCTGAATGATATCTGGATTGTACGGTCATTGTGAGGATGACATAATGTATATGAGGGTCAATCACAGTGTCTGCCACATGCTAGTGATATATTAATATTAGTCGCAACTCATTTTATTTTCTACTCAGCATTTTTCTCATCGGCTGGTATCTGTTGCCTTGATTCCTCTCCTTTTTTTCCCTTGGCATGATTATATTTCACTCTTGGTTTTTATTCCCTTATCTCATCCATGCTACAGACATGGAAGACACTAGCATATTATTGATTACTGATACTAACCATTATTCTCCCCTCTCAATTACTGGGAGCTTCTTGGACACTATTTGTGTTCCTCCTGTATAAAAGTGGAGGAGTGGGCTGAGGGTAGGTGAGTGCCCTTTACTTGAAAATATTGACTGCAGTCAGCAAGAATGTTGTTCTTTTTAGAATGATAATACTTTATTTTCCTCCATCCTAAGCCTCAGAGTTAAACTAGGGCATCTGGAATAATTCTTTCTAGTTGATGCTCTGATCAAACTTTCTCAGAGTTCACTCCTGGAGGGCTAGGCGATTGTTGTGAGGCATACGTTTTTAATTTGATAAAATTAAATCTCTTCAGTTAAATCTACTGTGAAATTAAAACTTTGACTCAAACCTGACATTTAATGGGATTGCTTTGAATGTGTCTTGATTTTACTGAGCTCAAATGGCTTACAGTAGCCTTAGATTCCTTCAAGTTTTTCAGCTCAGCAGCCTGATGGGAGATACAAGATTGTTGCAAAAAGAAGTACATTTACAGGTGTGGAAAGAGCAGGTTGAGGTAGGTAGTCAGAGCAATGTAGGGCTATCCTCTCCTTATATCTGTATTGTAGGGCCCTTTGTTAGGTAGTTTGCATATCATTTAGCGACCAGGTTACTGAACTGCGTGTGCATGAGTCTATTACCACTGGCCTCTTCTCTGCTTAATGATATTACAGGTTTTTTGATAGAATTAATAGCAGTGGCACTGAACTTTCAATTTACTCTTCTTTTGGTTGCAAGATCATCCATCTATGGAGTGTGAAATGATAATTACTATTTGGTCTGATATTCTTGGCTTTCTCTAAGTACAGAAGTTTAGTATGCTTAACGAGACACTTAATTGGTATTACCTGGTTAAGATTGCATTTTGCAGCAGAAGGCTGTTTGATTTTCTGCCTGTGTTAAATTAAACAAGGCTAAATTTTTAATTTTTGGTAACTTTAAGAAAATGTGTTTGTATTTTTAAAGGCACAGTTATCTAATTTTTAAATTGATAGATTACTTCCATGTGGAATAACAAAAAAATAACTTAGTGGATTAAAACTTCTACCAATGTTTTGTCTATTGGGTTCATCATTCTTTATCCCTATACCAAGTAGAGTCAGGAGCATCAGATCTATACTTTTAGAATTTTCCTTGGAACAAGGTTATCACCAAAAAAATCTGTTTCTAAACTGCTGACTTAAAAAAAAATAGGCATTTGATTTTAGAATACTTGGGGTTTTAAAGGAAAATTGTAAGGATAGTACAGACAGTTCCTATGTACCGGTATACCATTTCTCTTAGTATTTATATCTTTTACATTGTCACAATTAATTAATAGTATTGATACATTATTATTAACCAAAGTTCATACATTGTTCAGAATTCTGTAATTTTTCCCAGGATCCTTCTGGAATACCATCTTGTATAGAATAGAGACAACTAAAATTTTTTTTTTTTACATGTGACATAGAGGAAGTGAACTAATTTAATTACTTTAAGGAAAACAAAAGAAATAAAATTATCAACAGCATAATTTCATAAATATAAATACCAAAGGAACGCCGGTTATTGTTTACAATACAAGAGACCCTTGTATTGTAAAATTATAGGCTTAAAATGGCTTAATAGGTTGGCCTAAATCAGACTGCAGGGACCTGGAGTGTAATTAAAATAAAGGGAAAGATTGTATGCTATTGCAATGACAAAACCAGATATAGGCAGATTTAGCTTGTTCTGATGCATTGCAGTCCCAGGTCTGTTTTAAATGATTCATAGCAAATGAAAGCAACAACATCATTTTGGTCCTATTTGTCAAAAGCACTTCCAATTGAAGCAGATTTGTGCTCTAGGAAATTAATAATTTGTTTCTCCATTAGTTTCATTTTACATCCTCTGTCTCCATCCAGTTGTGTTAATTCTTTTCAAACACTCTATAGTCTATTGGGCTGCCTAATCTCTCAACTTAAACCATCTCCCCCCACTCCTGAGAACTAGTGGCGGAGTTCCTAGCTTGTTTTATGCCACTTTACTTTGATATTCTCCATCTCAACTCTATTAAGAGATGGCCTTCTGGCCCACCCGCCCTTTCTGGCCCACCTGGCCTTTTACGTATAATATTAATATTGTAGTTCACGGACACATCTTGCCTTAAGTCGGTGGCTGACATTCATGTTCTGATTTGATACAGCTTATGGCCAATCACCTCTTTCAGTAAGAGTCACTTAATAATATAAGTACACTGATGGAGCACCATTACTGAGATGAGATGGGGATATACTGCCACTGCAGTTAAAGTCTCTGGAGGGGAACAGAAAAGAGGATGAGTTTATTAAGTTTTCCTCTTGGAGATTTCTTCCATATTTTGCTATCAATATGACCCAGACAAAAGTCTGTCTTCTACCTAGGCTACAGTCACAGCATGATTTCTCCTCTTAAAGTTTCTGTTCTCATTCTCCTTTCTTGGAAGACAGATATTAACCTTCCGAACATATCCACAAAACATCTTGTTTTGCAAGCATCCCAGCATCTCTTAAGGGTGTGAGATATTTCTCTTTACTCAGTTCACTCACAATCTAAGGGAGCCCATCAGCAATTTCTATATTCATTGTTGTAATTGGGCTGACTCCTATCTTTCATTAGACAGATAATGAAAGAATCTTTATATAGTTCTTTTAAAAACAGATATTCATGGTATTGAGAAGCTTAATGAGGTTTAATTTACTTTTAGTTTTGTCTAAAAGTGGCTGACTCTGCTAATATTATAGTTACCAGTATAATAATTACCTTCCACTAGGAATTTATTATAGGTTGTGCAGGCAGCATTTATTTTAATCTCACAAAAGTCCTATGAAACAAATACTATTCAGATTTTGATATAAATGAGGAAACTGAGGATCAAGTAAGTTACTCAGGATTCTACAGCAGCAAGCTTAAGAATTTGAATTTTTCTGAATCATAGCTCCTTATTTTACACATTTCGATCTCTGTCATCTCTGTCTCTATCGATTGGACTTCATGGGAGGGAGTTATATGCTCAGAGAAGGGCCTCCACTGATTCAATCCAGTTGAGGGAGATTGAATTCAGATGCTATCAGTGCCTTCTTGTGTCAAGGACAAAGCAAGAGAAAACTAACAGGACAATATTTAAAAGAATCGCAGACATTGGTAATTTTGGAAAACTTTAGGCCAGACGAACCAGGAAGAGCTGGTTGAGGCTCTGAGCAACCAGTAAGGAAGGGCTGATATGGCACTTAACATTCGTCTTACATGACAAGTGGCTCAAGTTCAGAATACTGGGTATAGTCAGCCAAGAACAGGTGCAGAAACAGAAGTTCATCTTAGTGTTTAAGTGACTGTGCTGTTTGTACTCTGTAGAGACATTTTGTTCCTCATTCCTTTACACCTGCATGGTTTATATATTTTAAAAAGTGAATCTATGTCATCTTTGGGCCATTAATTGTCTTTATATATTAATGGCAAGTAAAAACCTGTTTGCTTGTTTTTGTTTGTTTGTTTGTTTGTTTTTTGTAGTTTTTGGATGCTGAGGACATTCTAACTTCTGTGATAGTGACCTGGTTTGGATGTCATTTTTTTGTTCTCTACCTTAATGGAATTATGGTTCCTATAGCACTTCTGACAGAATTGTCTGGTCTCTGTTTTAATACCTCTATAGGTAGGACGTTATAGGCAGCTTAAAGTCAAACAGACCTGGGCTTTCAATTCAGTTCCCTTATATATACAATCTATTCCCTTGGGAGAGTTAATTTCCCTTATATGACATGTGAATAATAATATCTACTGTACTGGGGTGTGTGTATGTAATTGGTTAACACACACTGGGAAGTTCTCATAATACTGGCATATCCAGAGTACATCTGTGTTAACCCTATTTTAGTTATTTAGTTGTATGCTGAATTACAATTTTTATCTTCTACCCACTGATTTTAAAGAGTTAACTTTAAAATGAGGTACCTACACATTTTAAAAATATGCTCTGTCCAGGGTACTGGCTTATAAACATTGTGATGGTGTCATGCTCACATTGTTTGGCTTTGTCTACCCTAGATGTTTGAGCAGTAGATTTGATAAGTGAACATGGTGTATCTGTTTGCTCCATTGTTTTATCAGTGATAGAATTTTGTAGCAAACCACATGCAATTTCCTCCAAGAGAAGAGACAGTTATATACATTTTATCCTTAGCTTTGGGCTCCCATTTCTCTGACTGATCAACTGGATCCCATTAAGGAGAAATTGGAACATCTCCTATGTACTGCCATTGTGCAGTTATGGAAGTTATCAGAATAGGTAAGTGTGTGACTTAACCTTTTTGAGGTATAATACTATAGAGATATAAAATAAGAAAACTCAATTCAGCATAAAGTGTAATATGACAAGTTCCACAAAAGGACAAAACGTGTTTCAAAAGTTTCAGAGGGAAAGGAGGATATCTAGGATGAAAGAATGAAGAAAAGACTCATCAAAGATATTATCTTTTAGATGGGGTCATAGAGAATGGGTACTACTAAGAGATATCAATTTTCAAATAACTTGACAGAAACTTTAAAAAATTAATATATTATTATAAAAGATATATAGAAATAAATACTTCCATCGTGTAGTGTTGACATAAGAATACATTATTACTTTTGGAAAGTAATCTGGCTCTCTTTTATTAGAACTTAAATTATGCATACTATTTGACCCAGGAATCCATGTGGAGAATGGATTTGAAAAAAATAAAGTAATAAGTTATAAAGTTTTTCATATAAATATGCTATTCTAGCCTTGTGTATAGTAGTTATAAAAAGGGAATAAAGATAAAATAAAAAGGGAATAAACTGAATGTTCCTATATAGAAATGGTAGAATAAATTAAGCACCATTTATATCACAGGATATGAGCCTGTTATTAATATGAATAAAGCAGATCTCTATAAATTGAGGTGAAATAATTCTATGTAAACTATATGAGAGAAGCTAGTTACATCTATATATGGTTTAAAATCAATCACCAAGTTTACAGGTATAGATATGAAAGTGCTTTCTGTTCAAATTGGTCCACTACGTTCATGTAAATCTTTGCCATTTTTAGGCAAATAACTATATATTCTTAACACAGAAAGACACTTTAAGTGCCCAGAAAAGTGAGTGATTATGGAGTCCTGAGAAGTCTCACCAATTACTGCCTGCCAGCTGGAGACCAGGAAAGTCAGTGGTGTAACTCCAGGCATAGTCTGAAGGCCTGAGAACCAGGGGAGCCAATGGTGTAAGATAAGACTGATGTGCAGGAAGGAGGAAAAAGGGATGCATCTATTTTTACATATGGGAAGGGCAATCATGGAAGCAAGCTCAGTAAATAATTCCCTTAGAGTGGTAGAATTAGAGACAGGAAGGGGAACCACTATAAATCATTGCCAATAATATAATACATATACAGGGTGTCCCCCCAAAATGTACTCACACTTTTGAATGATTACAAAGTCAGTGTTTATTAGCATAGAGCTCATTTTCAAAATCAAGTGAGTTAACAACTGTTAAAGGCTTTACATTTTTTTGGGGGGAAAATATCACTTAATGAAGAGGAAAATAATAAGTAGGCTGCTGGTAATCAAGATTGGTTTGAGCTTCAGGAAGGTGGGATTGGTTATAGACATGACTTCTTGGAAGAGGCTCAGAGACCAGCCATCCAGCCTGGGTAATGCTTGAGAGGAACAGTCAGTAGAGGCAGAAGAGACCTATTAAAAGTGGCATGAACAGCTTGCATTTCCAGTGAAGCGGTTGGAGCAGGGGAGTTACATAACACTTCTATATTTGGAGGAGCCCTTTCCAGCCCTTTCTAGCCCTAGGATAGCATAGGGCAAAGCTTGAAAGCAGGGAGAGCCCTTCAGAAGCTATTTGCAATAGTTTGGCAAGGGATAATGACCTATACTCGAGGGGTGGCAGTGATTTAGAAAGAGAAAAGGAGAACAATATGTTAGAGGAAAATCACACAGAGTTGGCAAATTATTGATATAGATAATGAGAGAAGAGGAGGAGCAAGACTAGTCAATGGTGACTGAGAGAATCATGGTATCCTTGGCAGAAAAAGAGGGGTCTGGAAGTGATTTGGAAATTAAAGGTGACAAGTGTAATTTATGGCAGACTGAGGGATTAGTTGGCATCTAAAAATTGCCAGTCAGATGGAAACTAGAAGTAGGTTTTGTGAGACTTTTGCATAGAGTAGAAGGAATTTGCGAAGAGTAGATACAGTTTACCAAAAAGAGACTGTATGGAAAGAAAGGAAAAAGGACTGAAGATAGCACTGTAGTGTTTACCTTTTGAATCAGAAGAATTAAGGAGCCAGTGAGAAGTGCCCAGGGTAGTGGGAGGAAAACTAAAACAGCTTGGGCATTGGAGACTAGCTCATGCATTGCTAAAATCTCTGTATGCTCTATTCTCTCTCATATAAGTAAGCTTCTGTTGGCTTGAGGCAACCGCTTTTAGTGGGTGCTAAAATCATTACAAAGGTGAAAGAACTTCATAATGGGAGGATCCTGCTGATGCCACTTACACTTCTAGCATCACTAAAAGTTGTATACTGACATGTTGTTCCTCAGGATGTGATACAACAGGAAGTATACAGTGCAACCCATGAAGTATTCTAGTCGAAAAGAAAAAAATTAAGTTGAACCAGGTATTTTAATTTAATTGGTCTTAGGTGTGGTATTATATTTACCATTTCATTTTAGTATTTTCCTGATGATTTTAATGGGAAAGTATAGTAGGAAACCACATTTGGTGGCCTTTGAGAGTCTATCACTGAGCCAGCCAATAGGTAGGATATGGAAGGAGACAAGCTGAGCTTTTTTGTGATGCAGCTCTAATTCGAAACCAGAATTAGCACTGAAAATGATGAGTTGTGCTTAAAATAGCTGCTTTGTTTTACTTCTAAAGTATTTTAACTTTTTCTACATAGTTATAAACTCAGTCAAAAACTTCTAAACTCACTAAGACTTTGAGAAACTAAACCAGGGAATAAACGTGTGCGTGTGTGTGTGTGTGTGTGTGTCTGTGTGTGTGTGTGTGTGTGTGTGTGTGTGTGTGTGTGTGTGTTTTGCCTCAAAGCAAACCCAACACTAAAATTTTGAGAAAATGCTTCAAGTTGTGGAGGGATAAGAAATCATTCTGTCTCTGAACATTCCACAGAAACTGAACCCTGAAGTTATTATCTTTCCCTAGGGATACATCAATAGTGCTTCTGCCTCTCCTTATTAGCCTTTTGTATATTCATGTTCTGGAGGAATTTTGAGAAACTGCCTGATAACTCAACAACTGTTATATGCAGAATAATACCTGAGCCCTTGATTTTTCTGAAAAAGAAAAATGAAAGTGAAATTTGATTGAATTTAACATCTTTCATGCAATGTATCCTTGAAAACTTGTCTTTACTGAGTTTTTTTGCAAATATAAAATACATTTACAAAATCTAAGTAATATCAAGTAGAGGGGATTTAAGAGCGAAGAGATGGAGTAGGATACTTTCACTGAAGAGGACAAAAAATAGGGTATGAGAAGATGAGGACCCATTGGGAGAGATACATGGGGATGACTCTTTGACAAACAGAGGAATAATTTTTGGAGGGAGAAATGGCAGTTGATCTATATTGAAAAAAGCAAAATAAGTAGAGGAAGAAACTAAGCAGAAGGTTTAGAGAGCAGAGCAAATTTATGAAGTGTATTAAAATTAGGAAGTGCCACTTGAAGCTTCCACTTGAAATGAGTGGATTAATGAATGTGATTTGTTATCCCACCTGGAGACAGCCTATAAAATTCCTTCGCCAGGGAAAATATAGTTTTAATCAGTTACACAAAACAACTTTCTTCATGTTCCTAATAATAAAATGCTCTATCAAGATGATGCATGGAAAGAGAAGAGTGTGTGTAACACTTTAGGATATTAGAAAACTTTTACATGCCATTTACTAACTTGACTTATTTTTTGTAGGCTCCCCATAGAAATAGAAATGTTCATGCTAAATTTCTAGATGAGAAGGCTGCTACCATAGCCCAAGAAAGAATTTAAGGATGTGATGGATGTAGCCTAGCCATAGCATTGTGTCTTCTTCACTTCGTGCAGGTATATCTAGGATATGTTTCAAGCTAAGCACATCCCAAAGACTTGAGGTCTCCATAACTTCCGCAGTCCACTGGGGTGGACTCTGTGATCACCTGCTCCCTGGGGTGGAGAGGGGAAGCAGAGGAGAGTACTGAGAACAGTGCTCCTGCAAAGGAATATCAAGTGAAATCAATGCTGTCTTCTAATGTTCTCCAGTCTCCTACGACTCCTTGTATGATACACATATTAAAGTTAAAGCCAAACTGATAGAATGCTTGCTTTATCTGAAAGAAATTTCTGTTTTATTACCCAGTCTTCAAGAAACTGTTTTCCATTGGGGAAATTTTTGTGTTCACAGTTGCTTTGTAGTATCTAGAGAAATAATTTTTGATAGATAAATACCAACTATTTGAGAGAAACCCGAAATCTAGGTTATTTTTTGTACCAAATCTAGCTTCATTTTATTCTATAGCTGGCTGAAGTTGACTTTTAATAAAGTACTTTGTGTTTGGGTGCTAAACCAAGCTGATAGCTACTTACATTTTTTGATGTGGCCAGCAAGCCTATTTTCTCGTTTTCTTTTAATACCCACTGATAAGTCTTGTGGTCTGATCAGGAATAGCACCCTTAGATGCAAGGGACAACACCCAACCAACTGAACCATACCAGCAAGGGCAAAAAGTAGTTTTTAATTATTGGTTCAAAATTAATCTCTAATAGAACCTTCCTTAATGGAGCATAAATAATGAATTTTATTGAGTTTAGTAGTCAAGCACATCAAAGTTCAAATTTACTTATTGCTATACTTCAGACCATTTAACTTCTCTGAGCCTTATTTCCTCATCTCTAGAATAGAGTGGTGATAATACTATCATATTAGGATTGTTATAAGGATTAAATTAGTTAAAACACAAAGATACTTCTCATAATGCCTGGCTTATACTGGCCATCATACATGTTCACCATCCATCACTGTTGTTATTATCATTATTATTATTTCTTGACTAATCAAGTGCATATTCAATATTGTTAATATTGTTTGTAGAGTAGACCATTTGGCTACTCACAAATATTCCTTTAAGTCAAGGTAATTCAAACCAGTAGGAGAGTTTAGAAACTGACCTTAGTTAGGTTTCATGACTCCTGGTAAGATTGATTCTGAGTGCTTCATTGGTCATCAGGCCACTCAAGGAACTGGCACCATCAATAGTCACAATGACAGGTAACTATCATGGTGGAGACACGCTACTGAGGGCGGAGATGATAGTTAACACAATGCAGTTACTAAAGGTACAGGGATTGGCAGAGGGAACTCCATGTCTGTGTCCTGACACCACCCCTCATCAAATGCTTTTGAATTTGGAAATTATATTATTAAACCAATATACAATGATTTGACAGCATTGTGTGTGTGTATGTGTATGTGTATGTGTATGTGTATATGTATATGTATATGTATATGTATATGTATATGTATTTGTGTGTGTGTGTGTGTGTGTGTGTGTGTGTATGTGTGTGTGTGTACTGAATGGCCAGATTATTATAATCTCTGAATGCATAATAACCTGGCCACTCAATGTATATCCAATCTAATAAAAGAGTAATATGAAAAATTGACTGTCACTCCAACATACAAGATGGCCAGCCCTATGTGAACACAAGATGGCCACCACAATATGGCCAGCAGAGGAGGGCAGTTGTGGGGGACTAGGCCTGCAAGAGAGGGCAATTGGGGGTGGGGGCAGGCCTGCAGGGGTGGGAAGTTAGGGGCAACTAGACTGTCAAGGGAGGGCAGTTAGGGGTGATAGGGCCAGCAGGGGAGCAGTTAGGCATCAATTCAGGCTGGCAGGGGAGTGGTTAAGGGGTGATCAGACTGGCAGGTAGAAGCAGTTAGGGGCAATCAGGCAGGCAGACAGGTGAGCAGTTGGGAGCCAGCAGTCCTGGATTGCGAGAGAGATGCCCGACTGCTGGTTTAGGCCTGATCCCACTAGTCGGGCATCCCTCAAGGTATCCCAGATTAGAGGAGATGCAGGCTGGGTTGAGGAACACAACCCCTCATGAATGAATTTCATCTACACACACACACACTCACACACACTGAGTGGCAAGATTATTATGACCACCCCATCAGTACTTCATTGGGCCACCCTTTGCCTTTAATATTGTGGCAATTCTTCTTGGAATTGACTCCATGATATTTTGAAAGGTGATTTGAGGAATCTGACAGCATGCCTGATGAATAGCACTGTCCAGTACTGTGAGATTTGATGGTTGTGGAACCAGCTGCCTGATTGATGGCTCTTTTAACTTCGTCCCACAAATGCTCAATTGGATTGAGATCTGGTAGTTGTGGGGGCCACCTAAGCAAGGTAAAGTCTTCCTCATGTTCATGAAACCACTCCTGCACAATATGAGCACCGAGGCATGGCACATTGTCTTGTTGGAAGAAGCCATCTCCATTGGGATATGCCATCAACATGATAGGATGAACTTAATCAGCAATGATACTTAGGTATATTGTGCTATTCAGATGTTGTTCCACATGAATTAAAGGGCCCAAATCATTCCAGGAAAACATCTTCCAAACCTTAACCCTGCCCCCACCAGCTTGAAGGGTTGTACTCATGCTGTTTCTGCCAAATTCTCACTCTTCCATCTGCATAATGCAACTGGAAATGTGATTCATCCGACCACATGACTTTTTCCAATGCTCAACTGTCCAATCCTTGTGTTCCTGTGTGAATTTGAGATGTTTTATCTAGGTAACTATAGATAGCAAAGGTGTTAGAACAGGCCTTCGGCTTCCATATCCCATATGATATAGTGTAGTGTATGGCTAATTTGTCTACAAATGTCAGGTGGCCATAATAATCTGGCCACTCAGAGTGTGTGTGTGTGTGTGTGTGTGTGTGTGTGTGTGTGTGTGTGTGATATATATCAGAATTGGAGAAATAAAGAGAGAGAGAGAGAGAGCGCCTTAGCACTCAAGAGTCTCCTGGGGCCCTAACCGGTTTGGCTCAATGGATAGAGCATTGGCTTGCAGACTGAAAGATCCTAGGTTCCATTCTGGTCAAGGGCATGAACCTTGATTGTGGGCACATCCCCAGTGGGGAGTGTGCAGGAGGCAGCTGATCAATGTTTCTCTCCCATTGATATTTCTAACTCTTTATCCCTCTCCCTTTCTCTCTGTAAAAAAATTAATAAAATATATGAGAAAAGCCGAAACTGGTTTGGCTCAGTGGATAGAGCGTCGGCCTGCGGACTAAAAGGTCCCAGGTACGATTCTGGTCAAGGGCATGTACCTTGGTTGCAGGCACATCCCCAGTAGGGTGTGTGCAAGAGGCAGCTGATCGATGATTCTCTCTCGTCGATGTTTCTAACTCTCTATCCCTCTCTTTTCCTCTCTGTAAAAAAAATCAATAAAAATATATTAAATATTATATATATATATATATATGGAGAAAAAAAAAAAGTTTCCCGGAGAAGCCCAGATGAGATAATCACTGTCCTATTGATAGTTTCTGAGGCAGGTAGAGTGATCTTTTTGAAGATTTCAAGAAAAGAACTTTAATATGCTATTGTCCAAATGCCAAGTTTGGATATTCAGTGCAACAAGTAAGATGACTAATCTGGATAGAGCATTTTGGGGAAGAAAATAGAGGAAAAGATAACTCTGACATTTATGCTAGTAATGGAAATCAATCTTGCCCCTAATTAACTGCCACTGCTATAAAATGGTTGTCACTTTGCAAAAGTCCTGGTCACAAGTTAAAATAACTTTCCCACATTTTAGGTTGATTTTTTTCTCCCCTGAAACCAGGATGTGAATTTATTAGGGATGTGATTATAGGGGCATAAGTGAGGCAAGTAAGAGCAAGAAACCTAAGGGTGGTATCAAACAGGTTGGTGCTGTGGATTTTTGTATCTCTGAACCCTAAACAGCACTATAGCACTTCCATTAGAGTTATCCCCCGTACATGGCACGGGAGCTGATGTATTTGCCCTTCAATCCCCATTGATTATTGGCTGGTAGATGTTCCCAGAAACATTAGCTCCACTTCGTGCCCATGATGCCTCACCATCTTAGTGCACATTGGTGCTCTAAATTATTAAATTACTACTGCTTGCTTCTCCTTGACTGAGGTCTTCCTCTGCACATGTGGTTTCCTGAGAGCCCCAGGGAATTATAGACTTTTTTCTCCCAGAAACAACCCAGCTCTTGGCCCTTCTGTGGGATAGTTCCCAGGCATATATTCTATCCCATTTTCCAGAGCTCTGCAGCTGAATTAGGTTCAACTTACCCAAACTGATCACTTGCTTAATAATGTACCATCACAGTCTGCCTTCTATCCTGCCTCACTCCATCGTTCTCTTACCTGTGTGTGGTAGGATCATCTCCAACATTAACTGTCTGCACTGGAGTCTTTGCTGCAATATTGACTCCTGGAGAATACCACACTAAGGCAGATACAACATTGCTTTTCATTTTTTTAATCTAAAAGAAATATTAGTTTGTGAAACTGGTTACAACTAGGAAGATGACATTTTATCCATTTGAAAAAAGAATGGTCAAGGAGAGAAGCAACAGCCGCTTGCTGAGGATTGTTTCAGGCATAGCCTGACGGGGAGAAATTGCAGTGTACTGGATAATTTCACGTGGCACTGCTAAACCCAGCCTCTACTATTTCATTTTAATGATGACCAGATCCCAGTTGGGGAATGGAAGAAGGAAACTTACATTCAAATGTAAAAATAATTTTACAGTTTATAACAGGTAATTAATAGCAAGGCATCCTAATTCGTTCTTATTTTATACAAAAATATGTGGATATTAAAATCTAAAGAGGAATTTGTGCTCTAAGGAGAAATATGAAGCTCTGGAGGTTGTATAACTGCCTCATCACTCATCTGCTTAATGACTATAGTTATGATTTCAGGAAGGAAATACGTACCCAATTATTTTACTGAATGTTAAAGAACATAGTAGCCTACACAAGGACTTGTTTTGGAATGGAATAGAAAAGAACAGATTATAGTCACCAAGCCCTCACTTTATGTTTTAATATTAATATGTTGCCATGTTCGGAGACATTGTTTCAGAAAATTAGTCTCAGGTTTTCATATTTTATGAGATGATTTCATTAGCCATGGAATGTCTATTTTTGTTACTTCTAAGGGGAGCTCTAGAACTTCAAATAATAATTGAAATATTCCATTGATGTGGTTGCTTAGCAACAAACGTTATATAGGCAGATTAATCATTTTGCTTCAACTTTTGTTACTTTAAACTTTTTAACTTGTTTTCAGCAGATTATTTTGCTGTAAGTGTGATTTTTTTCCTCCATAATTTAAATGCATATTTGTATCTGAGATGTTTGTTTCTTAGATCATGGCCAAAATATGATGTCCTTTGAACTATCTCCATGGATTAGGTTGATCTGGGATCACTGGAATAAGTAAAAATGTTGTGACTTAAAAACAAACACACACACCACATACTTCAAAAACATCTGAAATAATGCTAGTTTGTTAGGAGCAGCAATTAACCGTGTTATCAATTCAAAATGGTGGGCCCTGCATTTCATATGTGCTTTCTCTCCCAACCTTCTCCTCACTGGGTGTGGAATGTCTCAGACATTCCATACCCAATTACTATCTGGCAGGAAAAAATAACCCTCAGTACCCAAGGTACTAACAATTGTTTTCTTGACAAATGGTTAACATGATGATAGTAAAATTTTTCATTTCTTTTTGTATCAATGTGTTAACTGTTTTTTATGTAGGTTCATAAGGAATTGTGGATCTAGTGGGCAGTATGTGAGTTCTGAGATCCCAAGGACTTCAATTAGACATGTGGACTTACTGCACTATTTGCTTTTTGTGCGATCTCACCTTAATTAGTCTATGCCTCTGAGCCTTAGTGTCATCACTTACACAAGGTGCATAGAAATACATTTTATAGGGCTATTGTGAGAATCAGAGATGATGTACAAGGAGTGACATTTCTAGATGTAGGTGCTCAAAAAAAGGCAAAAATAAAACATGCTAAAAATGTTTCAGAAATTATCTAGTTAAAGCTCAGGATAGATAGTTGTGCTATTCATCAAACATGGCATACAGATACATCCACTGTTGTTATGACAGTGCTTGCTGGTCAATACATCTTTTCCCAATGTGTATATCCTGAGTTTTTATGGTCTGTTGGTCACCGTGGTGTGTTTGGGAGGCTACAATTTAGTGTAAGACAATGTTCTCTGCTCTAAAACCAGTGTCTAATTTTGGAGTGGAGAGAGTGATTAAAGAAGAAAATTAGTAAAAAATATGGTGTTGCATATAATGTGAAAAAAGGATAGATGATGAACATTCCTAGACACATTCATTCTTTTTGATCTAGTCAAGCATAATTTTTAAAATAATATATTTTATTGATTTTTTTTTTTTTACAGAGAGGAGAAAGGGAGAGAGATAGAGAGCTAGAAATGTCAATGAGAGAGAAACATCAACCAGCTGTCTCTTGAACACCCCTTACTGGGGATGTGCCCGCAACCAATGTACATGCCCTTGACCGGAATCGAACCTGGGACCTTTCAGTCCCCAGACCAGGGGTCCTCAAACTTTTTAAAGTGGAGGCCAGATCACGGTCCCTCAGAGAGCTAGAGGGCCGGACTATATGAACTACTAATTCCTACTGTAACACCTCGGCTGTGCTCACTGCCCAAAAAACCTGGCGGGCCAGATCAGACTCCTCTGCGGGCCGCATGTGGCCCGCGGGCCATAGTTTGAAGACGCCTGCCCCAGACCGACGCTCTACCACTGAGCCAAACCGGTTTCAGCACATAATTTTTCATTTGTATTCAACCTATAGCCACTTAGCTGGACCTTAGGATGTTCTTACTTCTACTAGATTATCAAAGACTCTACTGACTTCACTCAATCCATATCATTCATTTGTCTCTTACACTGCTCCATTCAATTCCGTGGAAGTAAAGTAGCATGACCACTGCTCAAACCCATTGAGGGCTCTCTGGAAGCATTTTCACTGTCTTCTGAGATGGTAGAAAAAGCTGGATAGCAGCTTTGATTCCATTATATCACTTGCTATGGAGGTAGGCTCAGGCAAGTGAATAATAACCCACTTGGGCCTGTTCCTTTTTGACCAAATGGAAATGATAATATTCACAGTGTTGATGGAAATAGTAAATGAAATAATGTGACAAAAATGCCTAGCACAAGGATAGGTACACAGAAGATGATCAATTACATCA